GAGAGGAAGAGGGTCGCGCCAGAGGAGAAAATTTTGGGGGGAGGTTGTACTTCGGTAAAAATTTCTTTAACGGCGCGACATGCCCTGCTATCCTAAGAATAGAGAATAGAGCAAAACCTTCCGTATGCATCGCGGAAGGAGGGGGAGAAGAAGGATTTCACCATATGTCGTTCAAATATACTGCACAGTCAAATTTCTCTCGTTCTCTAAAAGTCACTGATATTTTTGTCAGCGCCATCAGAAAGACCTAGAAAGACGATCGTAGCAGGCGAAACTCGAATCTGCAAGGAATAAGGCCATGTACTGCTACCCCCAGAAGTTGTGTTTTCCGCGACAAAGGGGCCACCATTAGTGAAGGACTCTATCACCTGAGTGCACTCTTGGACTACGTATACTTGTGACCACCAGCGGCCGCCAGCAAAGAACAACGTTTCGATAGCACCGACAACGAGAGTAGAGTAGATCCACATTATCCTGGTCCCTCGAGACGCTGGCGGACGGTAGTGGACGCTAGTAGACGGTGGTAGACGCTGCCGTTCGCTAGATCGATATTCGTACTTTCCTAGTGGCTGAACGTGACGGACGCTCCGAACGCCGATGGTCGCTGGTGGTCGTAAGTGGGCGCTGCCGCGAAATATGAACGCAGCCTTATACGGTCACTTGAGCACGCCTGCTGGTGCCAAGCAGAATGTAGAGGGTAGAGAGAAAGCAATGATTTTGCTAAGCTCAAGCTAGTCTTCAGAATTCGTACACATTTTCCATTCCTTGGGTCGCCTTCCAGCTTCACTTCAAATCTACCCTCTTTTCTAAAACTTAACGAATAATTAAGTGCATGTCCTCTTTTCAGTACACAGGAAGAACTGATTCTACAATCTACTTGCGTTTATCTACTTCTGTGTCCTCTTTTCGCGGCACCCGCATCTCCTATGTTTCTTCTCAGTACAGCAATTGACAGGCTGCTCTCCTTAATGGAATTTTAGTGGGTTCATAACCATGTTTCTTACATATTTCTGCTCGAATTTCCTGAACAGTTTCACATTTACCATATTTCTCAGGTTGTCAACGTGTTCCGCTTCAAAGCATAAATTATTGCTATTTCAATAATAACCTGCATTAATTTACCAGAATGAAAAACGTCAATACTCTGAAGAAAGAATGCGAGTGTTTGCCGCATTGTAATTTTCCATTGACGGCCCTGACACGATAGTAAGAAGAGCGTCATAACACTACCTATGGCGCGAGCATGGGTTGTGGGGAGAAGGACGAGAGAACCGCAACCAGTCGCGCGCGGTGCGCTGTACAGCAACACGCGGCGAATCTCTAGTTGTGTGTCCGTATGTAGATTGGAGCAGCGGAACCTTTTTATGCTCTTTTGTGGAAACTCTTCGCGAGGTTGATATACCAGTTTATTCGGCCTACGCGGGTGACGGACTTTAGTTGGAGCGGTGTACGGTAAGATACTGTAGGGACCACCCAGCGCATATCCCGAGGCCTGCCTGCGGCATGACCTCACTTAATTGCTGCGCTGACTGCTGACCTCTCACTGGCTGCTCAACGAAACGAGATGAATCGAAACATCTCAGTAGTAGGATTTGATATGTGAAGATCAGTACTTTCCATGAATATTAAATGACAATAAATGCTCGTATAGAAGAAACCTTGTTGAAATTTTCAGAAATTTCTGTTAAATCTAATTTCTATCAAATCCTACTATTTGGTCGGCCCATAAGTAATGGCGTTTTTTCTCACTCGAAATATCGCGCCAAAAATGAAAAATTTTGCCATTGAGTTTTATACTGTTTTGCAGAGAATTCCTTGCCCTATACGAAATTCTTCTTATTTTTTTTAACTTTCTCAGTGCTCAAACTGGTGTGTCGGTCGACGAAATTGAGCATTTTCGACAGCCTCCCTATTTCACTTCTAATTAAAAAAATAAACCGCACAGGCCCAGTTGCTATGTATATGGTCAGGAGGCTGTCTCATAGGAATGCTTATAAGGCTTTAAGTTATACAAAGATTTTCATTTCTAGCTCGCAGACAAACATCGAACCTAATGCCCTATCGGGTCAAACTGAGAACTTACTGAATCACCATATTCATAGATATTCATGCCGAAGATTGAGGTGTTCAAAGGCAGCGCCCACGTTCACTTGATGTTCCTACGCCCTTTCTGGATATCATAGCCCTCCCCATAAGGATGCAGTATGTACTAGTTTTGCATCTCACAAAGGCGAGAGGATAGCGCCTATCGCTAGTAAAGAGTCGACCGCCCCCCCCCCCTGGCGACCACGACGCCCAACTTCATTTCTAATGGTTGCCTGATGGTGCGGTTGTTCCATTGCTGCTTCTCTCCACGTCGTGTGGTGAGAGTGAGGTGATAAGGGGAAACAGCTGAAATCAACAAGTGAGAACTCGTGCAACCACTCCTTCTCTTCGCCTTAAAGGCAAAGCCCGGGACCACAGATTGCGAGTAATGGAGCTCAAATATGAATGACAAGGCAGCAAGTTAATGGATAAGGAAGAAAAGGTAGAGTAAAATAACCGGTATTGCTTTTTAGAGGACCCTGCTCGGAGTCAAGGTTGTACGTGCAAGGGACGAAAGAAAGGCGTGGCTTGGACGAGTTCTCCTAGCTATTTGACTGAGCGCCGTTGGCCTGGGCGATTTGCCAGAGTTGCGGCTGATTGCGTACGGCGAACCACTACCGTAATCGCACGCCTAATTTTATTCCCCTAGTACCGTCCGCAAGCATAAAGGTCCCTTTTCCTCAGCTGAAAATACGTGATAGCAACATCACCTAGTCGCGACGAAGGCAAAGACCGCACTCCTGCATACCGCACACAAAGACAGATTATATCGGCATCCAAGGACTATTCAATGCAGCGGTTCTTTCGGCAGTAACTTCCCCTTTCCTAATGGTGAGAGTGTCGTGATGAGGAGAAAAGAGCTGCTACTCGTGATATCAACAAGTGAAAAGGACACCAATTCTGCCTCATTGACGAGCAAGTTCGGTTCGGCGTGGGGTCCTATCTAAAACATTTGTGAACGATTTCCTCCTCTCAAATGGTTTCAACACCATTGTCACACCTTGTCATTCATAAGTGGTCGCCAGTACTCACATTCTGCAATCGGGGAACTTGCCTTTAACACCTTGGTCTGCATCAGAGCGATTTTGTAATTTCTTCGCATTATAGATTCGTTTACAAAAAGTGCTTTATTATAGAAATATATGTATGTAAACGTTCCAAAGATCAGTTCCAAAGATCAATAATCATTTAAGAAGGGTCAAAAAAGCGATGATTATCCAAGTCGGATAAGAAAAAGCAAACTAGTAGACTGAAAGCAACGTAACTTCTCATATCCTCTTTCTGAAGGGTCGGAAAAAAGACATTGCACTTACCACAAATCAAGCGGCACACCGCAATCAGCCTAACTCAGAACTTTGAGTACACAGTTGAATTGAATACTGGAACACCATAATAATGAATAGACTGCAAATGCTAGAAAGTAACAGAGAAGAATAAAGGGAAACGCTAAGAATGTTGAAGAATGAACATCCAGCAAACAACCATGGGCCTCATTGAGAACTGGAAAGTAGCAAAACAAAACAGTGGAAGGAACCATAAAGATCATATCAATACAAGAAATATGTGTGGATAAGAAATTACTTCTGAGTGCTGACGAGGTCCGCGGTGTCGCACTGAGCGAAACTGAAACAATTCTATGAACAAAACCTGAACTCTAATGCACAACAACATCACCTCGAACGAATCAAAAAAATAACAATAAACCAACATGAGAAGTTCATAAAGCTGACTAACCTTTGCAGTAGGTAGCAGACAAGTATATCCCAAGAATGTAAGCGAGTGGTCGGGACAGTCGGCTCCGCAACAACGGCTCCAAGGTGACAACATTTGAAGGTCCGTAGTCACATTATGAAATCATGGCCTGAAATCGACTGAAACAAACCGAACCTTGCAAATATTGAAAATGACATGTCGGGAAAGTGACAATAAAAAACGAGGCGAGATCGCGTTAAACACCGCAGTATATTAAAGCCGCTGACACTTCAATAGTTAGGAACCACTGCAAAAGAAGGTTATCAATGAACGCATCAATCTTCTGAACAAGAATACCTGATCACATATGATGACATCGCTTTTGACGTATAAAAAACATATATAGCAGCAAGACACATCCTAAAATAGGCGCATAATGCCCATATACAACCAAAAATCATGCGCGGAAAGCACTGGATGACAGCTATATCCGAATTTTCACCTTTTCGAGCTAATAACTCATCGCGCGCACTGCGGCGTTAAACAGCAGTTATCAAATTCAAAACAGCTTTCACCTTTTCCTTAAACTTCCCATGATTGTAAACAAGTGAGCTGTCATCAGTGCACAAATCCCAGCACAGCCAAGGATTCCGAAAAGCTTTCTTACACCTTTTCCTTCCTTTGTTCAAAATATTACTCAAATGTATCTCAGATACATGATACTCTCCAACAAACACAAAAAAACAAACACGAGAACATAACCAAGAAATAATACCTCTGCGTTCGAAAACCATCCTCTTAGATGCGAACGAACATGAAGCGCAGAAGATTTCAACCAAACTGCTAAGCGCTCCATATTAAGAAATCTTAAATTAAATCAACTAAAACAACATTACAACGACACTTATTAACATCGTTGGCGGTTTCATGCACGGCTGAATGAAAAAATTGTCGAAAGAACGAAATAGTTATATAACAAAATGCAAATGAATGAGAGCGGTAATTCCGGATCAGCTGTTCTGCCGCAATACTTTCCGTCAACCTTCCAAGCAACGCATGCTCGAAGTTCAGCGCGCACTCTCGGTGCGACGTCACATTGGAGCATGGGCCTTCGCGGGTTGCCATGGGCCTAAGGGGTGCCAATGGGCCTATTTGCCCGAGCTTCCACGGGGAATGCTGCTTCTTTCGACTTTTTAGATGTGCCACAGCCCCTGCAGTCGCCTGAGAGATCTTTATCGCGGAAAGTGCCTTTAAGCACGTACAAACGCTATTTGGTATGAAACTCCTTATAGGGCATTCCTATAGGGCATTTTGCATGTTTTCTTTTTGATTTTTCTTCACTAATAGGTTTCTTGCTACCTTGCTATTACTACCTGAGCCGCATACTCATCAAATTTGAACGCGGAGCGCTGCCTTTAAAGGTCATAGAATGCTTGCTTATCATTATCGAGCATCACCCTTAGTTGATGTTAGACGTTCAAAAGTTAGACGGTAAGTTCTGCAAGTAGTCACTTCTCAAAGGGCCCCTATGCCGTGCACATTTACAAGGTCCAAATTCCCATCACTTGATCGCTTGAACAAACTTGAAGCTGTCATAAGAAGTACTTTCTTCGGTCATATCCCACAAGTTCCGAGCTTGTTCTGTAATTTGAGAGCTGAGATAAAATGCAAAAGGTCGAAGACACGCTTTTGTGCCGACGACGTTCCACTTCAATGGAAGAAAAGTCAACGGAATTATCTATCAACTAGTGTAGTACACATTGAGAACAAGTGTCATTTTCCATATAAAATTTGTGCGAGATAAAAACGTCATTACTTGTAGGCTAACCCAATATTAGATGAAATTCGTTCTACTTCACTCCTCATCTCGTTTCGTTGAGCAGCCAGTGAGAGTCAGCAGAGCGCAGCAGTTAAGTGAGGTCATGCCGCAGGCAGGCTTCGGGATAAGCGGTAGGTGGTCCCTACAGTATCTTACCGTACACCGCTCCAACTAAAGGTGCTCACCCGGCTACGGCTAGTTTCCGCTAGACGCCTTCTCAGAGCCTCAAAGGCCGCGATCACGGATTTGCAAGCTGTCGATCAAATGTCATCTGCGGCCTATTCTTGGAGTTCGACCCTAGACAGGTCATCACCCAATCACGGAGAAGAGCACTAAGCGTGATCCAGTCTGATCCCAGAGACCAATAGGAAGGTGGCAGTTGAAGCTGATCGCTGCATTCAGAGCCTCTCGTGGAAAGCCAACCTTATATAGAGCCTCAGTTCCCGCGTAATAGTGAGGCACTCTCCCTCTGGTTCATCTTTGAATCGATGACCCGGATCCAGAATGCCGAGGGTTTTTTCGCGGGAAGGTTTGGGCCTCTCGCACTAAGGCCTCAATCGCGACTCCAAAATCAGCCCCGTTGTGGATTTGGACTCTATGGGTTCCCAAGCAGCAGTAGACACTCGTGGCCTCCATACCATATAGATGCTCTTTCACCCTCACGCAAAGCGGACGAGCCGTAACCGCGATGTATGGTCCACAAGCTTGCGACATGGAATTTTTGTAGACACCTCTTCTCATAGTCAATGCACCCTCTTGTGCCGGCCTGGCAAACCATACAATCGGGAGTTGTACATAGGCGGCCGTACATTGAATCTCCACCAGGCGGCGCTCTAGGTTATTGGGTGGTATATTTACTGACTGCTAATTTCTCCAAGCCTGACTCTCGTTGTTCTACAAAGCCTGACCTCTTCTTCTTACGGAAGTGCTCACCTCATCGGAGACGAATGGTAGCATGAAAGTGATTTTGCAGTTTATCACGCTACCACCGCGCCTGCTGTTGGCCCCACCAATTCTGGCTCTGTGGGAGGTCAAAGGCGTTCCATAGCCATTCGCAACAGCAATACCGTGCGCCAGTTTCAAGGACTCCTTCCTCTCCTCTCCTCCTGAGCAGACGTGTGCTGCCGTTCGGAACATGTTCCTCACTACAGCGCGTTTCATCTGGAGAGGGATGGGCAGACTGGCAGTGCACGATGATGTTCTTGCTGCTGGGCTTCCTGAACCACTTTGTCGAGAGCGTGCCGTCCTAAATCTTCACCTGAATGTTTAGTTATGTGAGCCAGTTTTCTGACAGTTCTTCCCTTGTCAGTCTTATGTGCTCAGACTGCGAGTTGAGCAGGTCAAAACAGGCATCAAGCTCTTGCTGTGTAGAGCAGACCACCAAACAATCGTCGATGTACCGGCAGTATAGCATGGGGTGGCGTTCCAAAACAGGCGCCTCTATCCTGGACATGAAGGCGATGGCCAGTGTGGGCGCTAGTCGTTGCCCCATAGCTAAAACCCTGGTCTGCGCATAGTATCTACCAGACAACCTGAAAATGTTACAGTTGAGTGGGGCAGCGTCATCAATTGACTGATAGAGAATCCCTGCAAGTTGATCTCGCACTGGTGCTGATTTAGAAGCTCCCTTACGGCTTCCATAGGAGACAAATTGCTTACGTTCGTGTACAGGGATTCCACGTCGAATGACTCCATAACGCAAGCACTGTTGATCTACTGTGCTTTAAGACGATCCAGGAGCAGTGTTTGTCAGGTGGGATGGTATATAATATCTGAGCAGCTGCACTAAGATGACATTGAGAAACCAGGCGATCCTCAGTGGGGACACCCACGCAGCTGATTATCGGTCGAACTTTGACTGAGGTGGGTTCAATTGACACTCAGACTTAAATGGCCAGGTAGGATAACTCGTCTCCCGGGCGCAGCGTGGCTGCCACGCCTACCACGTATTACACTTATCGTGTCATATACCTTGAGTTGTGTAAGCCTGCGGCATATAAAGCTGACTTCGTATCTAGAGACTAACAATCTATATTATTTAGCAAAACACTCACTGGCTACTATTTGCGGCCATATCTCACAGTACTGATTCTACCTGGATGCATTTTTGGAACGATATGGGTCGCTATGGTACTCGCTTACCGCACCCACGACGAGTATGTCGCTTAATTATTTTTGTGAAGCTTTCATGAAATAGTGCATTCATTTATTGATAATGAGTTGCTTACAAGTTCTGAAGTTGCTGGTCCGCATTTACGTAACAAACCGAAATCATTGGTAAATTACAGGAACGTCATATGTTTTCTAGCGACAGCCATGCAAGGTCCAATGCAGCAGAATCTCGTCAAATTAGTTATGGTTGCATGCATACTTACTTTGATGTGCTATGGTTCTTTCATATTTTTCCTGAAGAGAGTTCGCATGAGTAAGTGTTGATGATGGATGGAAGTCAGCAGATCCGAGTTGCGACGACAAACGGAACCTAACTGGCGCGCGCTGCTAGCTTGTTCGTGGTGCATCTTACTGCGGGCCTTTCGCATCAAATCGATTAGAGCGCGTTCATACTTCGCGATTAGATCGCCTGGATCTTGCGACCGCGATTGGATCGCTTGAGCGCTCAAATCGCAGAGTGTGAAAACCCTTCAGGTCCAACTGCGCATATGAATAGCCAGACGCAGCGTCATTTCGCCGCCCTACTATAACTTCAAACTCAGCTTACCTCCATACCAGAACGTGCTTTTGCTAGACGCGAGCTATCATTGAAGGCTTAACGGCTAGGTTTCCGCGCATCGGATCTGCAGAAGGTTGCCACAATAGTGTATCAGG